CCAAAGAAAACTGGAGAAAAGAAAATGGGAAGAATAGATACGGAATATAAAGAATAGAAGAAGTGAGGATAACATAAAGGAGAAATGAGACGAAGAGGAAGAGGTTAAGAGAGAGAAAGAGAAAGAGAGGAAGAGAGAGAGAGAGAGAGAGAGAGAGAGAGAGAGAGAGAGAGAGAGAGAGAGAGAGAGATAGATAGAGAGAGAGATAGATAGATAGATAAGAGAGATAGAGATAGAGATAGATAGATAGATAGATAGATAGATAGATAGATATAGAGAGAGGTACATTAATACACAGATGAATAAAGAAATAAATAGTCAGAGAGAAAGAGAAAGAGAGAGAAAGAAAGAAAGAAAAAAGAATAGGAAAGAGAAATAAATAGAATAAGAGAAAACGGAAGACGAAGAAGCAGACGATAATTACAGCGTCCGCGGTTGAATGAGGAAACCAGGTGTAAGACAAGTTGTTATTTTTTTAATTCATCTTATTTCTAAATTTATTTTCTTGTCTCTCGTTTTCTGATCATGTGGTTTACGTTAAAAAAAACTATTCATTTTATGTATCCTGGAATAAAAAGGAGAAGAGGGAGAGGGAGGGAGGAGGAGGTGGAGGAAACGAAGGAGGGGGATGAGACGAAGGAGGGGGGGAGGAGGAGGAGGAGGAGGAGGAGGAGGTGGAGGAAACGAAGGAGGGGGAGGAGTAGGAGGAGGAGGAGGAGGAGACGAAGGAGGGGGAGGAGGAGGAAGAAGAGGTAGAGGAGGAGGAGGAGAGGAGGAGGAGGAGACGAAGGAGGGGGAGGAGGAGGATAGGATGATGATGATGAGGATGAGGATGAGGATGAGGATGAGGAGGCGGAGGAATAGGAAGAGGATGATGATGATGATGATGAGGATGAGGAGACGAAGGAAGGGGAGGATGAGGAGGATAGGAGGATGAGGATGAGGATGAGGAGGGGGAGGAGGTGGAGGATAGGATGATGATTATGAGGATGAGGAGGATGAGGAGGAGGAGACGAAGGAGGGGGAGGATGAGGAGGGGGAGGAGGAGGAGGAGGAGGGGAGGAGGAGGAGGAGGAGGAGAAGGAGGAGGAGGAGGAGGAGGATGAAGAGGAGGAGGAGGAGGAGGAGGAGGAGGAGGCGGAGGAGTAGGATAATGATGATGATGATGATGATAATGATGATGATGATGAGAAGGAGGAGAAGGAGGAAGAGGAGGAGGAGGAGGAGGAGAAGGAGGAGGAGAAGGAAGAGGAGGAGGAGAAGGAGGAGGAGGAAGAGGAGGAGGAGAAGGAGGAGGAGGTGATGATGTTGGCGGAGGAGGAGGAAAAGAAAAATAAGGAGAACGAGAAGGAAAGGGAGAGGAGGAAGAGAAGTGTCAGAAAAAGGAAAAAGAGAAGGGACAGGAGAAGAAGGAAGAGGGGGAGGAGTGGGAGAAGAAAAAGAAGGAAGATGAGGAGGAGAAATTTAATAAACGGAGGAGGAGAAGAGAAGAAAAAAAACACAAGAAGTGGAAAAAGAATGAGAAAAATAGAGAAGGAGATCATATAAAAAAGAAAGAGAGAATGATAAGAAAAAAAAAAGATACAAAAAAAGAGGAAAGAAGAAGAAGAGGAAGATAAGAAGAAAAACACCCTTGATAATAAAAAATAACAATAATAATGATACTAACATTAATAATAATAATAATAATGACAATAGTAATAGTGATAATAATGGTGATGATAATAATCATAATAAAAACACAAGATGGAAAACAAGAAGTGAAGAAGAAAACGAGTGAAGATAAATAATACAGGATTTTGATACACGAGTCTGTCTTGTGCATATTTTTAAGATTATATATTTCAAGATCATGCAGATCGTGATTTAAAAAAAAAATAAGAAAGTAGAAAAAGAAGAGAGTGAAATACATTTATTTGTTAGATGATATTTTCGCTTTTTGTGCAAATGTTAGTACGTAATATGGTTATGGACTTCCCTTACGCCTTGCGAAAGTAGATGGAGAGAGAGAGAGAGAGAGAGAGAGAGAGAGAGAGAGAGAGAGAGAGAGAGAGAGAGAGAGAGAGAGAGAGAGAGAGAGAGAGAGAGAGAGAGACTGAGACTGAGAGAGAGAGAGACAGCTATATAGACAAACAGACAGGTAGGTAGACAAATAGGAGGGATGAGCAACATCTGTCTATATATATAAATATAGAAATAAAATTTGAAATAACTTAAAATAAATGTTTTTACATCAATAATCACAAAAAAATCTGCATCCTATTCGAGAGAGAGAGAGAGAGAAAAGAAGATGCCAGAACGATACGCGATAACATCTCGGCAGATAGTGATATACCGCAACCCTCTCGCAGGAGCCGCACCAGACACGCGGGACGGCGCTGTGGCATTGAAAACTTGATACAAGGAAAGTGAAGGTGTGTAGCCAAGTGGTCGGTTCCAGTCGACTCACTTGTGTCTCTCCCGCCTCGCTGACAACACTGCTCGGCGTGCTAATCTGCCT